GGCAGAAATTGAATAAGCCAAAAAGTTGGAATCCCAACCGCTGATGAGCAGAGGGATGGAAGGTTCCCGCTGAAGAGCAGGAGTCTTTAAATTTGGTGATATGAATGACACGTAAAATATATCATACATTAATTGTGCCCACAAGTACTATGCTCGCCATAAACGTTTATTCTGAAGAAAGAAACATACATTATTATAATATAATCCACACATGCAAATGGACAGTGACATTTGAGAATTGACAAGAGGCAAGGTAGGGGTGGGTGGGAGGGAATAAAACTGAACTGTGAACGCTATAGATAGCGCAGCAACCAAGAGCAGCGAAAGGCAAAAGATAGCAAGTGATGACGTCACCAGTTACGGGGTTAGACGTTGTGACGTCACCTGAAAGAAGCTGGCGGGACAATGATGTCATAGTGTAAACAAGGGAAAAGTATAAACAGGAAATGGTAAAGAAGATGGTTGAGCGGATTTCAATAAACGCATTTAGTGTAGAGCACTAAATGGGAATATATCATACTTATCAGATCCATTTATACATATATCCATACTAATGCATGCGGAATGAATTGCAGCAGAGCTGTATATGATTCAAATATAGTTTGCAGCGCCCCCTGGTGGTAGAAAATCCAAGATGGCCGCCAGCTGAAATCTCTAATGATATCAATCTGTACTCAACACATCATAGTTATCTGGCCAATTTATACAAATTATCATTGTAATGTATTTAGGAGTAATCACAACAATCCTGTATATAATTCAAATCTGGTATGCAGCGCCCCCTGGTGATGACGAAAATCCAAGATGGCCTCCAATAGATTTTAGTTTTCAGAAATTGTCTATTTCTACAGCACATATAGATATCATTTGATATCTTTGGACTAAGGATAAGTTTTGATATGATGAAACATTGAAATGACATTGTTTCAATTAATATGTATTGTCTATGATCTATTCTCGGCATATGAATATATAACTGGTCTTCTGAGAAAGGTTCCACCCAGTTTATATTAGATCACCCCAAAATCATTCATCTGGGAATGGATTCATATCTTAAAAACAAGAATACGAACTACGGTTACAACGAACTCAAATGATGGTCCCTTTGAGTTCGTTATAACTGTAGTTTACCGTTGTTTTTTTTCATACCTGGTCCTACAAATTAGATACTGACTAGAGCTTTCAAAGAGGCAGGTACATACTGTTTATGGCAGTCAGAAGGAAATGTCCCTCTGAAAGTTTGTTTCAACCTTAAATCACGTCTGTGGATAACTGTTGCTCGTTTAGTTAGCCTTAATGATTCAGAATCAAAAAGGCATGTTTCGGTGCTTGGCCAATATTGTTATCACATTCCAAGTCCAGTTACCGAATTTTAACCAAGTTCATGCAGTCCAATATATTCCCGAAATCTGCCTTACGGAATACAGATCTTGTTTCAAATGAATGAATTTTAGTACCAAAAGCTTATAATTCAGTAAAGCATTACTTGGAATTGTTTTGAAGCCATATTTGATTGAAATGATTGCAATGAGCAAATGATACTGATATGGTGGACAAACATTTGACATTTTTTGAAGATTAAGTCATTTTGGCGGCCATCTTGGATTTTCTTCGCCACCAGTGGGCGCTGCATATTAGATTTGAATTAGATACAACATTGACTCAATTAATTTTATATAAATGACTAAAATTGACAAAATAATGATGATATATTGAATATAATTTGACGTCATAAGAGATTTAAACCATTTTGGCGGCGATCTTGGATTTTCTACCACCAGGTCGCGCTGCTGAGGTGGATCCATATCCAGAAATGTTCGGAATGTTTCAATGTATAAGTGTGCCAAATTTGGTGCTTTTAACCCAAAGTGCACAATTATTATCCAGCCTTAACCGCCCCACTATCGGGAGGTTTCTTATGTTAAATAATTCGCCTATCATCACCACGTAAAACAGGAATAAGTTCGAGGGTTGAGTGTAGAGTTATAAACCTGAAACCAGCCAGCGCCCACGTCCACTTCAGAGCAATACCCTGTTCAAGGACAGTGACTAATACAGTGACAGTGTAGTAGTAATTGGCCACCGGTCACCCAGTTAGCAGGATGTACCTCGTTAGATCATTTATGTCAATGAGAAAATGTCAAATAATTGTTGGGACAGAGCTTTTTGTTGGAAATGTAGAGGCTAATGTTAATTATAATGTGCTGAGTTCCCTTTGTATGTATACATATAGGAGCCAGCTGGGCCTCCACCGTTCGGTGTCTGGTCAGTGAAGGACGTTTATCAGGGCAATGCTATGTGTCGCTCTTCGTCGGTGGTTTTAGCTGTATACGGTCTATATATCTGTATGCACCCGCCCCCCTCGCTTTGTCAACACGTGCTTTGTATATGTAAACCAGAACAATGCGATGTTTGACTGTCGATACACGTGCTGTGTCTAGGTAGCCATGAACAATGCAATGCTTGACTGTCGATACACGTGGATGTGTCTATGTAGCCATGAACAATGCAATGCTTGACTGTCGATACACGTGGATGTGTCTATGTAGCCATGAACGATGCGATGCTTGACTGTCGATACACGTGGATATGTCTATGTAGCCATGAAAAATGCGATGCTTGACTGTCGATACACGTGGATATGTCTATGTAGCCATGAACAATGCAATGCTGACTGTCGATACACGTGGATATGTCTATGTAGCCATGAACGATGCGATGCTTGACTGTCGATACACGTGGATGTGTCTATGTAACCATGAAAAATGCGATGCTTGACTGTCGATACACGTGGATGTGTCTATGTAGCCATGAACAATGCAATGCTTGACTGCCGATACACGTGGATGTGTCTATGTAGCCAGGAAAAATGCGATGCTTGACTGTCGATACACGTGGATATGTCTATGTAGCCATGAACAATGCAATGCTGACTGTCGATACACGTGGATATGTCTATGTAGCCATGAACGATGCGATGCTTGACTGTCGATACACGTGGATATGTCTATGTAGCCAGGAAAAATGCGATGCTTGACTGTCGATACACGTGGATATGTCTATGTAGCCATGAAAAATGCGATGCTTGACTGTCGATACACGTGGATGTGTCTATGTAGGCATGAACAATGCAATGCTTGACTGCCGATACACGTGGATGTGTCTATGTAACCATGAAAAATGCGATGCTTGACTGTCGATACACGTGGATGTGTCTATGTAGCCATGAACAATGCAATGCTTGACTGCCGATACACGTGGATGTGTCTATGTAGCCATGAAAAATGCGATGTTTGACTGCCGATACACGTGGATGTGTCTATGTAGCCATGAACAATGCAATGCTTGACTGCCGATACACGTGGATGTGTCTATGTAGCCATGAAAAATGCGATGCTTGACTGTCGATACACGTGGATGTGTCTATGTAGCCATGAACAATGCAATGCTTGACTGCCGATACACGTGGATGTGTCTATGTAGCCATGAAAAATGCGATGCTTGACTGTCGATACACGTGGATGTGTCTATGTAGCCATGAACAATGCAATGCTTGACTGTCGATACACGTGGATGTGTCTATGTAACCATGAACAATGCAATGCTGACTGTCGATACACGTGGATGTGTCTATGTAGCCATGAACAATGCAATGCTTGACTGTCGATACACGTGGATGTGTCTATGTAACCAGGAACAATGCGATGCTTGACTGTCGCCACAAATGCATGTGTACATGCAGCTGGGAAAAATGCGATGGTTGATTGTCTTTACACGTGCATGTGAACATGCATCTAAGAACAATGTTTTGGTTGATGGTCAACAGTCCCTGAACCATATTATTTTCCCTTTCGTCCAGCTCTTACTGCAATGCTTTAGCCCAAAGTAAAGCAAGTCTAGATTTTACCCAGGTTAAGGTTCTTAATCTCCCATCTCACTGGGCCTCATTCTTGAATTTTTATTTGGTTCTATCAAAATAACATATTTTCAGAGACTAGGCGTTAGTCTTGTTGAAGGGCACAACACTTACATATACGGAGCCAGGAACAACCCTTTATTTAAAAGACGCATGGAATAACATGACATATACTGTTCCTCTTCGAACAGTGAATAGAATGCCACAAAGTTATCAGTTTAGAAAATGAAAACAATAGCAGCCGCCTGTAGAGAAGTTGAGATAGATAAAGGTGTATTTACTGAGTAAGAAAGCCCTATTATCATTTCATTGCCCTTGGCATATTTCTGATGGAATCAAAGTGACTTACGGACGAAAATGGGCAAAAATGGCTGTCGTCAAGTATCTCTAACCGAAAGAGCTAACTCCAACAGCCAACCATGCATACATGGTGTCATCTGGGGGATGATGCTCCTTCCTTTGCAACTGTTAAGAGGTGGGCAGCGGAGTTCATGACGGTGAAAAAAAATCTTCAACTGCCACCACTAATGAAAATTTTGATAAAATCCATGATTTGATTATGGATGTTCAACGACTCCCCACACGTCACATAGCCAATACAGCTGGCATCTTTAATGAGGGAGTTGAGAACATTCTGAATCATGAACTGGGCACGACAAAGGCTCCATAACGCTGGGTCCCAAGGCTTCTGACGCACAAGGTTCATCTCTCATACGACTTTACGTCGTTTTGAAGCAGACTAATTTTGTTGAACTTCTGTGACCATGGAGGCGTCTTGGGGTAACCACTCACTCTCAGCCAGAGACTAAACAAAAGTCAAAATAGTGGAAACATCTCACGTCTCCTCCTCCGAATGCAGGGTGATGGTTTCGGTCTTCTGGGAGTCCTACTGGTCTTCAAGAGACAGTGAACGACTCACCAACCAACATCAATCACCATCCACACTTGATTCAAGAGACAGTGAACGACTCACCAACCAACATCAATCATCATCCACACTTGCGTCAAGAGACAGTGAACGACTCACCAACCAACATCAATCATCATCCACACTTGCTTCAAGAGATGAGTAAGGTGAGTTGAGGAATTTAAATATTTCATTTTAATGCGAGGTAAACTATGCCTGGATCATATGACGTCCTGCTGAATCATCGCATGCATGATCGTTTTCAACCACGTTTGAAACAAATCTCGTTATCACCACGAACATAATAAAATGACTGTTCAGCTGACGTCAGCTTTCCTGGTTCCCGTGGCCTGTAACAGACCCATGAGATATATTCTGTGTTCTGGTCGTACCCACACCTGTCGGCACACCCTGGACACATATATTAATCATCCGCACCAGTCGCTGTACCTGTTATACAGTAGAGAGCTACACAGTATAATACAAACTGATACAGAGAATACAACTGATGGAGTAGGAACCCAACGGAGTTTAATTCAAATAAGAATTCAAAGAAGCATTTATACAGACAAAAGAACATGTGATTACCACGTGTTTGTACAGTTAAAAGTTTTATCACACAATCAGTTAAAACATTAATGAAGACAGGGACATACATATATATTTGGGAACTAAAGCATATTTGTTGTAGGCGTGTATGTGGTTTATCAATTGTCTGTATGTGTGTTTTGGGGATTGGAGCGGCTTGGGGGCGTTGAGGTTCAACTTAAAAGAAATTTTCAGTTGGAGTCATAAACAGTACTTTGAAAGGATCGCAAAATACTGGATAGATATTGGGAGTTCAAATGCTATGAGCAGACTCTCCACACTGCCTTTAATAAATGTCTGACCTCTTAATAAATTTAACACTTAAGCATATGTCTGTTCGCATGAGTAGATATCACCTAGGTTTAACACTGCTGATGGAGGGTAGGTGGTGAGTACCCTACAGAGCCTAGGAGGGCACAGTTGACGGGGAAGGCTTCAACAATTCGGATCTTCGTGGAGAACACCCGCCAGGCCGATACCTTTTAGTCTGAGAATATGTAGAAAATATATCATCATATATATTTAGTTTGATATATGGCGCCACGAATCCAGATGGTCGCGGTTCAGCCTCAGGAAAACAAAATGGAAGCGGAAAAATAATATTGAACGTTATTATGGACACCTGATGTGACGACTCCATACTGTTCATAATAGTTTAAAAGCGATACTATGCTTCACGATCTGATGCCAATTTTTCAGGCTAGGTCTAGACGTTGTAATCAGTGACTTGTGACAAACTGATACGTTATCTGCATGCAATAAGAGTAAACATCAGCTGCTAGATAAATATATATTATACAAATTGAACACGCAGACAAATAGAGCAGGATTTGTATGGCTTCAATCAAATTAGCTAGCCTGATCTCCCTTTAAGCAAATTGGCATCTATAACACTATGAACAAACATGACCTGTCCCACTACCGGATGTCTTGTGCAGGTGTAACTTTGCATGCCGTATACTCATGTTGAAATCACTAAAGGAAGTCGGTCTCCAGTGGGGCCCTTGGTTCAGTACAGCTGTCAAAGTCAGCTGGCATGTCCTTGATGCTGCCGTCAGCGACGTGGAAGAAGGAGGGGAGGTCCTGGTCCGGGGAACCGTGGAACATGTTGAAGGGCTGGAGATGGAAGGAAGCCGACTGACGGCGCTGTACCGGTATGTCCTCTGTGCGGGGCATGTCCATGAAGCCCACGTTGATGGAGAGAACGATATCGGTGTTGTTAGTGCTCTCAGACGGGTTGGTCAGTTTATCCAGGTTGACCAGTGAGTTGGGCATAGTGTTGGCGTCATATGGCATGGTGAAGTACTGTTCCTGCTCGTTGCGCAGGAGCACTGTCAGGTCGTGCTTAGTGAACGATGACATGTCTGCGCCTGGGTCTTTGTCCTGAACAAAGTCAATGAGAGAAGTGTCTAGTGTCACCTGGTAGCCAGAGTAGGAAGTATCCTTAGACGATACCAGCCACACTTGCGGCTTACCGGCCTTAACTAAACCCCTTTCCTCGCCGATAGTTTCAAGTGAAGGGTAGAGTGTGGCGTTGGACACAAAGTAGTTAGGGCTTTCCTTGATATCTTTTAATGACCGAAGTGCTGACACTGCTTGGCCTTGTTTCCAGGAGATTTCATGAAAGGAATTCAGCGTGTCCTCCACATCTAGGTCCACCTTGAAGTTGAACGAATGACTTCCAGATATACCGCCAACGTAGTCTGTAAGGTTGTAGCCAAACGCATTTCTCTTGTCAGAAGCGGCGAAGATATTTGAACTGTTAGAATCCCAGAAGGCGCCCTGCAACGAGCCGAAACTGTGGATGTTGGTGTCTATAGTTCCGTCCAGATGGAATCTATATTCCATTGTAAAATCCAGGTTACCTACCCTGGATGTGGCTCTCACTACCAGGTAGTTGTCCCTTAGGCCAGCAGCGTATCTGTTTGCCCTCCTTCTCCACAATGGCATTTCCCCATCTCCTTCAAACACGCAGATTGACCTGGTCGTTGTCCCTGCTCGCAGCACAGTGTTCCAGTATGTCGTGTTGAGCAGGGTCGCTCTCTCTGGGCAATCGACGCCAGGTATTACTGCCTCGTATTCCCCAATGTTGGAGGAGGACAATAGGTTCACGGCGTTGTTTTCTCCGTGGGTGTCGGCAGTGTGTCTCACCAGGATATCTTGTAGCGCCATCTCATACAAAATCCGAACCTCACTGAAGTGAACATTGTAGATGGCCAGTCCACGCATTGGGTTGTTACTGAGGGCGAAGTTCCAACCCATCCACGTTATGTTGTAGTTATTTATCGTATATCGTGGTCTCCCAGGGGAATAACTTCTTGGTGGTGGTACCTCGCTATTTTCTCTTTTTTCTGCCAGACTCCGGGGAAATACCCTTTCATTTAGACTTTTTCTGTAGCCTTCGGGAAGATGAACTTTATTAATACTATTTTCAGCATAAGCTGCAAGGAGCTCACTAGCATTAGTAAAGGGGCCCTGGTTCAAGTAAAAGAGTTCCCTTATTTGCCAGTCTTCAAGTGAACTTCCACTGTATGAGATGACACCAGAAACAGGGAGCACATGAAACAGATCTTTGTCCACTTCACCAAGACCCCGAAAATGTAGTGAAAACCTGATTTCACGGCCTGTGGGTCCAGGCCGGTTAAATCCAGTCTTGAAGTTGACAGCAAGATCCCTGGGATACGTGGCTCCATCAAAGCTTTCTTCCAGGATGGGCTTCAACTCTGTCATCACTGGCTGGATGAATATTTCCAGTTCTTTATTCATGACCACATCAATATGCCTGGAGTCAGCTGGAAGTGATGACATTGTTTGTACAGCCACTGGCTCAACATTCAACGGCCCCACTAGAAGGATCCGGATTTCTGTCGTTCCTACCACATGAACTTCTGCAAATCTGCCGACAAAACTGCTCTGGTTTTGGTAGTATTTCAAAGTTTCATTTTTATCAGGCGGATACATGGACATTGACGCGACATAGGTGGAGTTAAAACCAAGCGGAGAAGTTCGGTTATCCACGATTTCTGATTCTATCAGTAGTTCTTCAATTTGTTCCATTTCTTTTGGGGTTAGGGGATCGAATATGCCTGGTACAGGGTTAAGAACTAAGGGGCTATAACTTTGACAGGTGGTACATTTAGCAGGTTTAAATGCAGTGGCCCCTACAACACCACCAATAACAGCACCTGCGGTAACTCCCACAAATAACGGCAATATATATTTAATGAAGATCTGTTTAGCTTCTTCTTTTCTGTTTTTCAGAAGTTTCGCATTTTCCTCAAGCAATGTTTTATATTCTTCAGTCGATTTTCCACCATTGCCAGAGCATGGGGTGTCTTCTTTAGTGGACTGTCCCCCTTCACAAGAGCCTGTGGGGTCTTCTTTAGTTGATGGGCCATCCTTAGGTTTGCTTGGTGGGTCATCATTAGGCGACTTCAGGCGGTCAGCAGCAGACGAGAGAAGGTCACCGGGAGACGGCAACATTGAACCAAAATTTGGCAGCGACATGGCGGAGAATCTGAGGATGGAGAAACGGACACACTACACAGTGATGAGCATCTACCTGCACAACGAAATGCATCAGAGAGTTTTTCAAACAGATAGTAAATACTAGGATTTCAGAAACGGAAATATACAATCTAGATTCTAACCCAAATTAACTAAAAATAATCTTTCCTTACATTCTTGATGACTATCAAATGAAGTTACACGAAACTGTTCTTTTATGTATATGGAGCAGAAACATGCAAGCAATTTTCCTACAAACTCATATTGGTTGTAACCACGTTATTTAAGAACACATTCATTGCACCGATAGAGATTCATAGTTTGGAGAGAATTTCAACTGCTACAATTTCCCCGCACCACTTTAAATGTGCGGAGAAATAAGTTAGATTTAGCAAATCTCACTGTACATTTAAACATATCCGAAAGGTAGACCTACAAACCGAGTAACGTATAGCCTACGGACATACAGGTCCTCATATGTACAGACCTAAAGTTGTACTGACCTAAAGATGCACAGACCTAAAGATGCACAGACCTAAAGATGCACAGACCTAAAGATGCACAGACCTAAAGTTGTACTGACCTAAAGATGCACAGACCTAGGGATGTACTGACCTAGGGATGTACTGACAAAGAAGCGTGTTGTCATACAGACCCACAGGCGTACACAAAGCACTACAGGTTGGTAAACAGCCCCATACACGTATAGACCTAATGACGTATGCCGCAGTTTAACATGAATACCTCAGACACAGTTTACTGACTCCGAGCCGACCAGTCCTTGTTTTAGCCCCTTAATGCCGAGCGCCAAATAGGGTAACAACAAGTGCCCCCTTTTAACGTCTTTTGGTATGACGTGGCAGGGGATCGAACCCCGGACCACGGAGGCGGTCGACCTACGTACGAAGTACCCAATAGGTACGTACACCACACTTAGAACCGAAACGATCTACTGATGTAGTGTCCGACTGATACAATTCCTTTTGCGGAGTAATGACTCTGTAAAATCGCCCTACATACCTTTATCAAAGATGAAGCACACAAGTACGCACTCTATTTAGCGAGCGATCCCTATGTACTGATATGTAGAGATATAGATATAAATCAAGGACTGAAATAAATATTCATAAAGGATGTATATATTGTTGGGTATTGTTTGATTAATTTGGATTGGAACCTGGTGTTGTACATGTGTTGCTGGACAAGCACCAGAGTCAGCTCACGGTTACCTACTGTTGTATCAGCACTCCTCAATTATAAAGTAGAGTCTGGTATTGCGCTTGTCATGAAAAACAACGCGAACTTGCAATTACTTGATTGTATTAGACACACACTGTTGCTCATTTACCCAATTGGGTAGTGTGTGCTAAAGTTTCAATATTATTATTATTTTCAGAAATTATTGGAAGAAGCTAAAATACACCCAACATACCAGCAGAAATACAAATGCCTTAACTTCAAAAACAAGATACACACGTAGCACACGATGAATTGTTAGTCAACTCCAAATATGTGTGAAACCAGCATAATGGAATATAACTCTACCGAGGCAAACGTTCCTCAACAAGAACACGTCTGTCACGATATGTAACCAGAAGCTTTTCTGAACGTATTAGGAAATATCTGTTTACCTTCCAAGTTTCTCTGCTGGGAATCAGCTAGTGCGTGCTACAAACGGTAGCCGACTAAGTCGAGTCTGCTCACCTGTGTGTCCAGTGTGCTTGTGCTGGGACAGGGGTTCTAGATCCAACTCACCAACCAAATGATGCACGACAGCTGTAATGCAGGCGTTTTGTGCAATTCATAGCCAATGTATATTGATATAATCCAGCACCTTGTCGCACACTTTGCCTTAAGTGATGCTGAATTAATTATGTGTCACTTGCTGGTGGTCATGTAGATATCGTTACTGCGGAGTTTGTGCTGACACTGGATGTGAATCAAGACGTGTAAATCTGAATGCGCTATATGCCATTTAGAAAAAAATCGATGTCGAGCAATGTTTTTTAAGTGTAACTGAACTTAGCACACATGTCTAGATCGTTTAGATGCAAATGCTGCTTAAATGTTGATGCTAATACTTGATATATGAAATATGACAGAATAGATTTCTAAGTTAATAGTTCAGCTCATATTCCACAAGGTACATAATCAAACATTGTTTCAAGAATGATATTGTAATCTGTGGATGGTCTTGTGGTGCCACACATCGTCAGTCAGTCAGTCTGGGATCCCGGATAGTGGTTCTCCATGGACTCTGCTGAGCTTCTAATTACATGCTTTCTCATCATAGATAATCTGGATTCGAGATATTTGGTCTCATCCAGTATTCTGCATATGTTATCTGTTCGGCGTCTCGGCAAACATCGTTTTTAGTCTTCAACTTCCATATGTAAAACCCAAAAATTAAAAGGTCTTATTTCTTTTTAGAAATCACAAGCAGGACACAATAAAGGAGTATTTGTAAAAAACACGCGCCTGCATTTGAGTAAACAAATGAGTTAGCCCCTCTCGTGTCCATAGCCATGCCTGTTATTGCCGCAACCGACACAGACCCAGCATAGTTAGGCAGCATTATAGCATTCAGAACATTAGGAGTCAGATCCATGTGCAGCTTCGTCCACGCGAGGAAGCCGGGTAGGATGGGGCCAGCTCCAAATGCAATGACAGCAGAGCTGATCCAGATGACCCAGTGGCTGGTGTCTCTGTACGCCAGCAGCAGGGCGGAAGCTGCAATGGTAAGCGCCAGGTTCAAGGACATGGTGGCTGTTGGTGAGACTCTGTGGGACAGAAACATGTTGGACAATCTGCCGAGGAACACAGCCAGGCTGAAGGTGCTCATGAGAAGGGAGGTGGCATCGACGTCGAGACGGAGACGCGAGCGAATGCCATACGTAACGAGGAGTGAAATATAGGTACTTAGACAGGCTGTCAGAGTAAATGCCATCAACATGACTAACACAAAAAATACACTGCATTTCATACTCCTCTTCAGTGCCTCTTGAACGTCACCATTTGCCTTGACACAACATTCTGCTGCTTTGATCATGTAGCCGTTGTTGAGCAGGTTGTAGTGGTTGGCCATTAAAGATGATGAGACAAGCAAACTTAGAACTGAGAGACCTAAGAAGATGTATTCAATGTTGGTAGAGAAGTTTTCACAGGCTAAGTGCTGATCATACACCTGCGTGTCGGTGATGTTGTTGTGGTGATGGAGCTGGTTTGGGCGGGTAGATAAGAACGTGGTAGCAAGGAGCGGCAGAGCGATTGGAGCGAGCGAAGACCCGGACGCCATCAGGTACAAACCAAAAGTATGTGCGGGCCAGAGCAACTCGTTCTGGACGAGGCGACCTACAAAACAGCAGTTGAGTCATGTCAATAAAACAGACTTAGTTGGTATTAAAAGTATCTTTGTTTAAATGACAATTCTACTTAAACTCCTGATCTAGTCTAAAAATGGTTAGTGGGATTGACCAATTCCTTTTTAGGGGAATAGCCTTATCCTTGATGTTTTTGAAACCAGAGGGAAAAGGACCTTCGAATGTGAAGGTCAAGCGTCTCTTTTGGAGGCAGTATTACTTGGAACACAACGTGAAGGTTATGAAATGAGAGCTAGATCAAAATAAATATAAATATATAAATATATACATACACCACGATATTAAATAGGTTTTCGTTACAATTAGCATCATTCTATGTCCGTTGCGTGCACATGGTCTTGCTTTGGATCTTCTTCATCTAAGTCACGTAATTGAATATAGCAAAATTCGCACACTCTGCATCAAGTAAATATTCACAACCCAAAGAAACTAATTCCTGATAAGATATTACCCGATTATCATATTATTTGAACAGCTACTTGTTAAATGTGAGGGACCCAGCCAGTAGTGTGTCTGCCTTTAAATGCGATTTAATAGGTTAGAAATTGCGTCCTGTGTGGAAAAAAGGACGAAATATTACATTCTGGGGGAACATTTCCTTCAGAAATATAAATAATGTTGTTAACTTATATATCCCCGGCAAGCAGTTTAACGGGCATTCGTTTCTACCAATCATATCGGTCCGAAGCATACTTTCTGCAAGAGACCTCACATTCTATCTACTTATGATCTCCTTGAGACAACAGTTGCTTAAACATATTATAGAAGGGCAAGCGGATGATTTAGGACATGGTTTGAGGGAGTATCTCTGTTCGGATCTGATTCAAAATATTCCCTCTGTTGAAAACAAACCCAACTTTATTGTTTACCCGCTTCAAGGGCAAGTAGACGTATCCCGCTCTTGAGGCAATTGTCGTCCAGATGGGCAAGTTTCTGTAAACCGCTCTACAAAATGACCGCCGACATCGATGTTTCAAAGCAGTAAAATTACATAATATTGATAAGAAAACTTAAAAACATATTCTTCGGAATTCTTAAAAAGAAATTACCCCAAAACAATATTTTTGTCACGGATATATCTAACGTCATTTCTGACTAACAACCGCGAAAATGGGAAACCCCGCATTACACCATAGGTTACTTATACACGTTACTTTTTGGGCCGCAATTCGCAGTGCAGAATTTCGTGCCTAAGGCGTTCAAGGATCCTATGATCGTAGTTCCGAATCCGAGAATTTGCTCTGATTATCATCCTTGTATTGTCAGGATCCACACCTGTTTCTCTTGGTGTATTTTACCAAACGTTAACTCCCAAGCCTTGCCTCACTTCGGGCTCCCCTCCCATCTAAAGTTGATGTAACATGTAACAAATATAGCAACCTATAACCCAACCCAACCACTCACTAAATATTTACCGAAATACAGCATCCCCGTGCACCCGCCACTGATGAGGTAGAGACAGCCGAATACTGCAACGTTGCCAGAGTTGGGGAGGAGAGCTAGTACTGTTGAATTGACGACTAAGGTGGATGCCATGAGCAGTGAGGTGTCCGCGCGGTCCTTGATTAAGAAGCCCACCACAGAGCTCAGGCACATTCCCAAGCCGTAACTCAGGAAGATGGTGCTTGCGGTCTTCAGGTCCACGTGGAGAAGACACAGCAGGTCTGGCAGCGTGATACCGATGATACAGTTGTTGGCCCCCTGTCACAGACACAACATGGACAAGCGTCACAATGTGTACAGCTACCCACAGTATTTCAGTTTTATCCCGGCTTTAAGGACTCAGTTGATGCATTTCTGAGACGTTCACTACTTTGGTGAAATCCATGTGAACAGGTATGGTGTTGACAAATCAAGGGTAATAATGGGAGCTTTAAACCAACAATCATAGGATCCTGAATAGTCTAAGGGGCGCAACTCTGCAAATAGATTTGCGGCGCCTTTGACAACTGGGTCACCTGCGGCATGTCGATATAGTTAACGTTCCATAATATTCAGTCTAACATGAAGTATTTGTTTTAACTGAGTAAATCGTCTATTAATCTGGAGTGTGGTGTCGGGCACACCATTGTTGACAGCACCTGGACTTTCACGTGGTCGGGGTACGAGGACACATGTCCATCCTGATCACATATTTATTTATTTTTAAGTCACATATTGTGAAAACTCAAAACCACCACGGGCGGTGTCATGTGACCTGTTCTATTTCATTTCTGTAATTTATGCCAAAGATATTATCCATAAATTGTATCAACTTCTGAAAATGATTCGATTTTATAATGGTAAAGTGAATGAAAATTAACCGATTTTATCTAAACGGTGGTAATGTATGTAATAAGTGACGGCAGGACAGTTTATACAGCATTCAGGATAATAGATTCAGCAGTTTTCTTCATATACATTCTGATCTAAGTTCGACGTCATGGTTATAATTGACTGATTTATCTGGAAACCAAGGATGGAATGGACCGCTGAAATAGCATTATGCTTGTAGAAGTAGAAATGTATGCCCGCAGCACCAATCTGTGTAAAGGTTGAATGGGTCATGCATTATATAGGGCCATATCGTGTTAGCGACTGTATTTGTGGAATATATGTGTCTCAGGAAACATGCTGATGGTTAATAGAGATACACGTATAACATTGTAGGTATCTCCCAAACACGTCAATAAAACAGGACTAGGAATCAGCAGCAGCGGATGCTGAATGTTGGGAACTAGGGTATGTGAAGAAATGCATAATGCATTGGTACACCGTACACCGTACACCGTACACCGTACACCGTACCAGATAAGTCGGACATAAGTGGTGTCTCCTTCACCTGTCTACATAATATAGGGCAGTATTGAGTTGTGTTTTCTCCCTACACCTGTCTACATAATAGAGGGCAGTATTGAGTTGAGTTTTCTCCCTATACCTGTCTACATAATAGAGGGCAGTATTGAGTTGTGTTTTCTCCCTTCACCTGTCTACATAATATAGGGCAGTATTGAGTTGTGTTTTCTCCCTTCACCTGTCTACATAATAGAGGGCAGTATTGAGTTGTGTTTTCTCCCTTCACCTGTCTACATAATAGAGGGCAGTATTGAGTTGTGTTTTCTCCCTTCACCTGTCTACATAATAGAGGGCAGTATTGAGTTGTGTTTTCTCCCTTCACCTGTCTACATAATATAGGGCAGTATTGAGTTGTGTTATCTCCCTTCACCTGTCTACATAATATAGGGCAGTATTGAGTTGTGTTTTCTCCCTTCACCTGTCTACATAATATAGGGCAGTATTGAGTTGTGTTTTCTCCCTTCACCTGTCTACATAATATAGGGCAGTATTGAGTTGAGTTTTCTCCCTACACCTGTCTACATAATAGAGGGCAGTATTGAGTTGTGTTTTCT